GTACATGGAGGCCATTGCAGCCTTCCACACTGGGGGGGGGACGACAAAGGTCTATCTTTGCCAACCCCTTGGTTGAAAGGTTTCTAAAGGGAGTTGACAGGTTGATGCCGTATGAGAGGCCTCCGGTACCGGCATGGGACCTTAACCTGGTCCTGACTGCCCTTATGAAGCCCCGTTCGAGCCCCTAGCTTCATGCTCCCTGACACATCTATCTTACAAGGTAGCTTTCCTTGTGGCCATTACCTCTGCCAGGCGGGTGTCTGAGCTTAAGGCTCTCACCTCAGAACCACCTTACACGGTGTTTTTTAAAGACAAAGTGAGGTTACGTCCACACCCGGGATTTCTTCCCAAGGTGGTCTCACACTTCCACATGTCCCAGGATATTTACCTGCCAGTGTTTTACCCTAAGCCACACGCGTCGCCCAGGGAACAGGCTCTGCACTGCCTGGACGTTAAGAGGGCGTTGGCTTTTTATATAGATAGGACACGAGAGTTTCGCAAATCAAATCAACTGTTTATTTCAGTGGCAGAAAGGATGTATGGTCAGCCAGTCTCAACGCAGCGTATATCCTTGTGGATTACTTCCTGTATTCGACTGTGCTACGAGGGTGCGAGTAAACCACCGCCGCGGCTTTATTTTTTATTTGCGCTACTGAAGCCCTGATCTTGAAAAGATTTATGCCCAGATTTAACTTTTAACTGACTCTAAATTACTTTTTTAAAAAAATCCTTCTATTACACCAGATTCAAGGAAATAATTTTTCAATGAAGTGTAACTCTGTGCCTGTTACAAAGCATTCCTCTTTTGCAGTTACCTTCAAGTAGACATTTTGAGAAATCTCAACATTTTAAAAGACTAGAAAATCTGATGTTCTGTCTATCAGTGTATATTCTACACATGCACACAAGTCCTATCCCATACATCTCCTCCCATGTCAAGCACTGAGACATTTTTTAGAAGAAGAGGTTACTTACCTCGTAACTGTAGTTCTTCGAGATGTGTTGCTCATGTCCATTCTGATTAGGTGTACGCGCGCCGCCTGCACGGATTCCGGAGCTTTTTTCCCTTAGCAGTACCCATAGGGCCAGCAGGGAGCCCCCTGGAGTGGCGCCGGTATACCGGTGCATATATACCCCTGCTGGCCCTCCCACCCCTCAGTTCCTTCTTGCCGGCTCCTTCCGACACGGGGAGGTGGGTGGGATGCAGAATGGACATGAGCAACACATCTCGAAGAACTACAGTTACGAGGTAAGTAACCTCTTCTTCTAAAAAATGTCTCAGTGCTTGACATGGGAGGAGATGTATGGGATAGGACTTGTGTGCATGTGTAGAATATACACTGATAGACAGAACATCAGATTTTCTAGTCTTTTAAAATGTTGAGATTTCTCAAAATGTCTACTTGAAGGTAACTGCAAAAGAGGAATGCTTTGTAACAGGCACAGAGTTACACTTCATTGAAAAATTATTTCCTTGAATCTGGTGTAATAGAAGGATTTTTTTAAAAAAGTAATTTAGAGTCAGTTAAAAGTTAAATCTGGGCATAAATCTTTTCAAGATCAGGGCTTCAGTAGCGCAAATAAAAAATAAAGGTATGTGACCAGGTATACTGGGCATTTAATACCCCTTGCCATGGTGCATCCTGCCCAAAGCTGGTGTCCTTTTGGAGACAAATAGAAGCAGGTTTAGACCTTTTGGAGCTGCTGACACACACCATCCAGGGTCAGCTGCTCCTGGAACCCAAATGAGAATTGGCCTTCAGCAGCTAGGAGGGCTGGAACTGAGAATAAACCAATCAGAACCCATCAGGCAAGATAAAAAGGGCTGACTGCATCCTCCTCTGGGAGGCAGTTCCGGGTTGGCTGGGCAAGGGAGAAAGAATCTCTGTCCCCTTAACAAGAAAATTAAAAAAGCCAGTTCTAGTCAGAAACCCACCGATGATTGGCCCTTTTATGTTTGAATAAATGAAAGATTATAGTGTTTTATTTTTATTGAATGTAAAGTCTACGTGGTCTTCTTGAATAGGAAATCAATTGATTTCAGGAGATTGCTTTGTGAGATGCCCCAGGGGCTCAGATGAACCTATGACAGTGTATTTATTCGAAGAAAACATTGTTTTCATTGTTCTGGCTTCACCTGAGGTCATTTAAGTTGTTCTGAAGACCCACAACAGAGTTGAACTGAAGTTTTATACTGCATCATTCATTAACGTGAAGAAGGAGGACTTAGAGGTTGAGGAGCTTAGTGGATGGATTGAGGAGAAACTGGACAAATAAATATTGAGAAGGAAATCAAAGAGAGCTAAGGCTGTGCATAGAAAAATGTTTAGATTGTCTAACAGCTGTACAGTATACACTTGCATATTCTATGATTCTGCTGCATGAGCTTCTAGTTTACAAACTATACTGCACATATGGAAACAGAGTTAAACGCTCTGAATAAAATTCATACAACAGATGGTCAGATGACCCAAAATTTAAGTTCTTATTTTGTTTTCTGCCATCCATAGCATAATTTTGTTTTGCTGTCCCATAACTGCATTATGCATATGACAAAGTGTTGTTAGAAATTATTTTTCAGCATTAGTGAGTATGTATTAATCCAACTACTCTGGAGATTATTTTAGCAAAATAACTAGCTATCTAAGTCCCTGTCATACATGCGTGAGAACATGTGAAGTTAGTGAAATTAAAATCCAGTTAAAGACTTTCCCTCTCCCTTTTCTGATCATTTTTCATCTTCCTATATCCCATCTTCCCTGCCCCTCTTTTTTTCTATTCCCTTCTCTTCTCCCCTTCACTGTCAGGAAGGGCCAGCGCTGAAGGGCCAGTTCAGCACATCACGACGCCGGCAGAGAATAGCAGCAGCTGTGGCTACAACAGTGAGTGGATTTAAAATCAAGGGATAGTTTTAAAAACGGGAAGTTGTAGAAGTTGAATATGTAACAACAATACTGAGACTGCCACTTGCAATTCATATAGAGGTGTCTTCATTACCCACTTTTGGGTAGGCCATTTGTGAATGATGAAGTCAACCCTGACTTGTGAAAATAAATTTAATGACCTTGGTTTTCATATCACTTACACCAGCCATATATCAGTGTAACTCCATTGTCTTGAAAGGAATTGTTTCTTCTTTATGCTGGTGTAAGTGGTATTCGAATCGGGCCCTTTTCCCTCAGTATGTATGGCATATTCGGTATAAATTTACAATATATATATATATATATATATATAATAAAAAAGCAACCAGAAAATTCAAGGATGTAATTCCATTAAAAGAGTCTGAAAATAGCACACACCAACAAAGCAGAAGTGAGGGGGTTTGTTATTAAGTCCAGCATGAAATTTCCTTGTGCTGTGGTGTTGTGTATATTAATATAAGGATAGGATTTTTTTTCATTTGAAACACTTTTTGTTTACATTCCATAATCCCCAAAAGTCATATTACTGCCACTAGTATCTCTTTTGTTTTTTTTAATCATATGATTGCTTCGTGCAAAAACGCAAAAACTGAGGTTGAGAAATGGAAATGAGAGCTACTGGACAAAACTCTGGGACCTTCACACCTCACAGGATCTGGAGCCCGACCTCCAGCCTTACCCAAATATCTACACTGCATTAAACAACCCTCTAGCCCGAGCCCCTTGAGCCTGAGTTAGCTGGCGTAGGCCAGCCGTGGATTTTTAATTGCCAAATAGCCAGCCTTAAGAGTGGCAGCTGCTCACCCCAATAGTGGTCATGAAATGGAAGCTACAGACTGATGAATACCCCACTGTATCACTTATACTCAGGCCACGTGGGGGATTCTCTTCCCAACCCTATGGGCTAGGAACATCTTTCTTTTTGTAATAAAAGCTTAGATTCTGAGAGAGCTGATAGTACATGCCTAGGAAGGATGGCTGTTCATGTGATCTGAATGGTTAGTTCAAGCCCTAGATCAAAGCAAAAAAAGAGAGACTGTGGATATATTTGAAGTTATGTTTAGCAGAGTGAGGAAAACTGTAGAAAGATAAACAATGAGGAGTCCTGTGGCACCTTAAAGACTAGTGGATTTATTTGAGCATAAGCTTTTGTAGGTAAAAACCACTTAATCAGATGCTTCTTATGCCCAAATAAATCCGCTAGTCTTTAAAGTGTCACAGGACTCCTTGTTTTTGCAGATACAGACTAACTCAGTGACCCCTCTGATATTTGTAGAGAGATAGGTAGAGAAGGCACATTAAAAAAGGAGACTACAGTACATGGTAAATACAGGAGCACTGACCAAGATCAAAGATATGCCCAGTTATGAAGGGAACATCAGAAGAAAATCTAGGGTGTTAGCGATGAGTAGCATAAGGAAAATTTAATCAGTATTTCTTTGTCTGCTGGAAATCGGGGTGGATGACAGATGTGATTTACTGAGGATTTTTTTTTCAGCTGTTGTGGAAAGCAACTTGGAAACTCTCTGAAGGAAACAAACAGTTCATGTCAATTAGCTATTTCTTTGTTTCTGACTGTTGAATAATGTTCTCTCAAGCAGTCAGCAAAGTGTCTATTTGTTTTGCTCATGTAAATGGATCTTTCTTGCAAAGTGTATGATTATAAATGCCTGTAAAATGCAAATACTGATTCTAGAAGACATTTAAAATGTTATTTACCCAGGAAACCTCATTTCAGATGCATGATCTGGTTTTCATCCAATTTTTTCATCTGGCCAGCCAAGATACAAGGCTCTAGAGTTGGTGTTCAGAACTTGGGGAATATGAAGAGGTCCAGTGAGATAGCAGCTACTTTCCCTTTCTTTCTAGTAGATGGGGAGTGTGCCCTGAACTTTTTAACTCTTGTAACAGGGGGGCCACAGAATGGAAAAAGTTGAGAAACATTAGTCTAGGGTGTATTTGCTCAGTGTTGCAACCTAATATCCAATGTGTTCCTTGTATATTTTTCTAACCTCTAGGTGGCAAAGCCTTTGAGATTAATTTATGTTATTTTCTCTGTCGTGAAGACACTAGCATCTTGTGGACTTGAGTGACGATAGGTTGACAGAATTCTTAGAAGATTTTGCAAATACGTTCTCTGACCTACGAATTGAAATGCTTTGTAAAAGAAGTGCGACTATCAGAGTCTATTTGTAAAATAGTGAAGTTCCAATTGACTGTTGAGAGAAATGGTGTTAGCATAGTACAAAATGGAGGTTGCTGAATGTAGTGTGATAGTGCTGCAGTTTGCCGGAGAAAAGGATTTGCTCTGTTGTCCCTGTGAATAAAGACATTACTCATTATTGTGAGTCTGAAAATAAAATCTGATGAAAGATCATCATTGCTTGCATACTTAAAAACAAGAACACGAGAAAAGAGCTTAGAGGCTAAATTAAATTTGCAATAGATGGGTGTTACAAGAACATTATTTTGCACACAGTAGATACCTGGAAATCTGGGAAGGGTTAGCGAAGGAAGATATGCTGATAGAGCATACTGAGGGGTAGAATGAAAGGTGATTAAGTTATCTAAGAGATGTTAGAGAATTCCACCAATGTCAGAAACGTATAATGCATAGTGATTAGGCATGGTTCCCTGCAAAGATCAAACAAGTTGTTCTCTAATCCAGACAGCTAATCAACTAAGGAACCATCGCAACTGTTCTTGGCAGTTTAAGTAATCTGTTGATAAAGTCAATAGTAATATGAATTTTATGTTGCCTACTGCTCTACAGGAAGTTTCAGAAAACATAATCTATACTTTGGGTCCATTTTTCATATCTGAACACATAAATTACTCTCTAGAATTTAGGTTTTCATCTTCTGTGTTTGAGGAATTTAATTAGTGTTTGAATGCCTAAAATAGACATTGAAGTGATTAACACTGCTTTGGGTAGCAAAATATGATTCTGAATGCCTTTTGATCCCCAAGTTTAAAAATGAGCTCCGGGAGTCAGATGTTTCTACATATGTGTATATATTAATGTGTGTGTGTATTATGTAATCTAATGTAAATAAAGTATTCTCTCTATGTGTGTATTAGGGATGTTAGATATTGTGTAATTGAATAGTCATGTAACTGCACGTCACGGAGTGCCCCGCCCTGCACGGTCCCGGGCTTGGGCCGTGATGCTCCCAGTTAAATGTAGGCCCTGAGGGCTAGTCCAAAGTAACTGCAGGCCCAGAGGCTGAGTTCAAAGCAAACGCAGGCCTTAAAGCCTAGTCCAAACGAACGCAAGTCCTAAGGCCTAGTCCACACTCTGGGTGGGTGGGTTAGGGGGGTCTGGGCCCTCCCTCTCCTCTGGACCCCAACCCAGGGCCCTGTTGGTGGTGGGTGTTTCCCACCACTGACTTGGCGGGGAGATCTCCCCGAAACGCGCCGAACCCACGGAGGGATTCCCTGCCCCCTGCCCTGGGTTGCTTCCTACCCCAGCCCTGTGGCTGATGGAGACCCCACCTGCAGGAGCTGGGCTGGCAGCAATCGTGCTGTTGGCAGGTCCGGCATCTATGGCAGCAGCGACAGGGTTGTCCACCGTGGCGGGGTGGGCTGCCCCCTGGGGTCGGCGTTGCAGGCGTGCTTGGCCGGGGGACTGTAGTGACGACGACGGCAGGCCCGGTGGCTCTTGCTCCGGCGGCCAGGCTGGCTCTGGCTCCGGAGGTTGGCTCAGAGTTCCTCTCTCCCTGGAGGCCGGTCTCAACTGAGCTGTTTCCCTGGTCTTTATACCTGGCCTGCAGTTGGAGCATGTCCGACACTGCTGTGGGAGTGGGGCCTGCACAGGCCAGCTGGCCAGCTGGCTCCCCCCTTGGCCAGTGAGGGGCTGGACCGCCCTGTCACACTGCATAAAATGTTATCAGTTACATTACTATGCGATAGTTCCCGAGGCGTGTTTGTGTTCCAAGGAGCCCCCTATCATTCCTCACTGCTGCCTCTTTATCAGAGGCAGCAGCATAGGGTTTCATGCAGGAGCTGGTCTGTGAGTGGAGCCAGTTTAAAAACCAGCTTCCTGAATAGACCAGCTGCCTCCTGCCCTGTGCTGATGCCTCTGATACAGCAGCACTGGGTGGCAGCAGCCACTGTCCACGGTGGGGAGCGTCAGAGCTCCTTACGAGCAGAGATTGATCCGTGAGATGCGGAACAGTCTCTGTCCATGGGGACCTTGAACCCCCTGTGGATAGGGGCTGCTACCACGAAACAACTTCTGCCCAAGGGTGGAATTTCTGGCAGGTGGGGTCGCACCAACTGTGCGCTTCGGGACACGGCTTGCTTTTCATCCCGTGCCCCGGATGCTAAGGGAGTGAGGGGAAAGTACTTGCATTCCATCCGTGCCCCTCACACCTGGCTGGTGAATGGAGCTCACCAGCGAAGTGTGAGAGGCATGCACAAAATGCAAGTACTTTCCCCTCACTCCCTTAGTGTCCAGGGCACGGGATGAAAAGCAAACCATGTCCTGGAGCGCACAGCTGCTGCCCCTCCCATCCGCCTGCCCGAAATTCCACCCTCGCTTCTGCCTTTGGTAGGCCCAGGCTCGCTTTGTGGCAACCTGCCCTGCCCTCTTTTCCCCACTTGCTGCTGCCTCTGATAGAAGCAGTAGGGGAGAGGGGGGAGGCATTGTGGAGTTGGTGCTGCGGGGATCTGGCTTTTAAGCCAGCTCCTCCCAGCACTGGCTTCTGCCTGCAGAAGGGTCAGGCAGGTCTTTGAGAGCCAATATATGCGGGGAGCTGGCTTGAAAGTTGGCTCCCTGCGTGTATTAACTCCCACATCCCACCTTCACCATCCATGAAGCTGCTTCTCTATCAGAGGCAGCAGCACAGGGGCGGAGAGGAGCATGAGGATCCAGTGCTTGTGGGGAGCATGCTTAAAACCAGCTCCTCATGGGCACAGGCTCCCACTCCCCCCTCATGGCTGCCTCTGTGTGGATTAACCGATAAGAATTAAACGCTAAGCCTAGGTTTATCAGTTAATTGTTTACTTGACTATTTGCTAACATCCCTAGTGAGTACATAGATATTTCATATGTATTATATATGTAACTATATAATACATATGCATTACATATATTTACATTGTATGTAAAATACAAAACACATTAAATATGTTTATATACACACATTTACTGTATATGCAGAAATATAGACTGGAGAAAAAAAGTGGCATTATATAATAAATTAAAAAGAAGCATATTTGTTCTTTTTGATACAAGAGACTTAATATGACTTGGTAAAATATCTTTTTCTGAATTTTATATAAGGTGTGCTTTAAATAAAAATTAGGTTTTGTTTTTGATAACATGAGCATTCATATACAAAAAGAACTTACATGATTTTATATATTACCAGGGGGTGGTACCCCCTGCTTGCAGTGCTCTCCAACCCCCTCTCTGGGGGTAGGCAGCCCTTGTGCTCTTCACCCGGCTGCCAGGGAGGGCCAGGCCAAGGTGTGGCATCCCTGGCCTACCCTGGCTCTCTCCCCTTGGCTTCTGGGCTCCCCTTAGGTTGGGCCAGCCCCCCCTTAGGTTGGGCCAGCCCAATTCTTGCTGCCATGGCCCTGGGCCAGGCTAAGGCAGGCCCGGCTCTCTCCCAGAAGCTGCCGGGGGACTGGGCTATGCCGAAGCTGCAGCTGGCTTGGCTGTCTCCCTCTGGCCACCAAGAGGTTGGGTTCGGCTGAGCTGAGGCCATGTCTGGTCTGGCTCTCTCCCTTTGGTGATCAGGGGGCTGAGTTGGGCCGGGGTCCAATCTGGCCTTGCTCTCTCCCTCTGGTTGCTGGGGGTTTGAGCCGGGCCATGGGCACAGCTGGCCTGCCCCCCCCTTGGAGAGAGAAA